AAGGGGGGGGCTCGGGGGGCTGGCGACAGCGGGGGGGTCACAGGGACAGCGACAACGGGACAGGGACACGGGGGTCACAGGGACAGCGACACCGGGACAGGGACACGGGGGTCACAGGGTCAGCGACACCTGCGGGGACACGGGACAGGGACACGGGGGTCACAGGGACAGCGACACCGGGACAGGGACACCTGGACAGGGGTGCCACGGGGGGCTCACAGGGTCAGCAACACCTGCGGGGACACGGGACAGGGACAGTGACAGGGGGTCACAGGGACAGCGACACCTGGACAGGGATGGGGACACCTGCGGGCACACGGGACAGGGGGTCACAGGGGAACACACGGGGATCAGGACCCCCCCGTTCCCCCCTCACCTGCAGGAACACGCGCCCCCCGTGTCCCCGTCCCTCCCGTGTCCCCTCACCTGTCCCCCCGTGTACCCCCGCGTGTCCCTCACCTGCCCCCTCACCTGTCCCGTGTCCCCTCACTTGTCTCCTCTGTCCCCTCCCCTGTCCCCCCACCTGTCCCTCACCTGCAGGAACACGCATCTCCTCTCCTGTCCCCTGTGTCCCCTCACCCCTCACCTGCAGGAACACGGTCCCCTCCCCTGTCCCTGTCCCCCGTGTCCCCTCACCTGCAGGAACACGCGTCCCCCCGCGGGCACCGCTCTCGGTCCCGGTGCCGGCCCGAACTCGGGGGAGGGGGCGACGTCCAGGCGGAGCCGGGGGGGGCGGGGCGGGCACCGGGGCTGGGGGGCGGTGTCAGCGCGGGCTCCGCCCCCAGTGCCACTAGTGACCCCCAGTGACCTCCCAGTAACCCCCCAGTGCCACCAGTGACCCCCAGTGGCCTTCCAGTAACCTCCCAGTGCCCTCCCAGTGTCACCAGTGACCTCCAGGGACCTCCCAGTAACCCCCAGTGACCCCCAGTGCCACCAGTAACATCCCAGTGACCTCCCAGTGCCCTCCCAGTGCCACCAGTAACACCCCAGTGACCTCCCAGTGCCACCAGTAACGTCCCAGTGCCACCAGTAACCTCCCAGTGCCCTCCCAGTGCCACCAGTAACGTTCCAATGACCTCCCAGTCCCACCAGTAACCTCCCAGTGACCTCCCAGTAAACTCCCAGTGCCACCAGTAACCTCCCAGTGACCTCCCAGTAAACTCCCAGTGCCACCAGGTTCCCCCCAGTGCCACCCGTAACATCCCAGTGACCCCCCAGTGCCCTCCCAGTGCCACCAGTAACGTCCCAGTGCCACCAGTAACGTTCCAATGACCTCCCAGTGCCACCAGTAACATCCCAGTGACCTCCCAGTGCCCTCCCAGTGCCCTCCCAGTCCCACCAGTAACCTCCCAGTGACCTCCCAGTGCCCTCCCAGTGCCACCAGTAACGTTCCAATGACCTCCCAGTCCCACCAGTAACATCCCAGTGACCTCCCAGTGCCCTCCCAGTGCCCTCCCAGTCCCCCCAGTAACCTCCCAGTGACCTCCCAGTGCCCTCCCAGTGCCACCAGTAACGTTCCAATGACCTCCCAGTCC